AAGAAAAAGTAAAGAAAATGGTGTGATGTGGCATCCCACATTGCCTGATTTCAAATTGTGCTGCAGTATTTTATATTGTGCTTAATCAGCACAGCAGACCAGCAGTTATTGCCTGGTCTCAGTTGCTGAAATTTGCAGTGTTTTCAAAATTGGCATTTTGCCTCCAAAATGCCAAATGAAAAAGCCAGTTATCAAACACTTCTTTTAGCTTTTTGACCAAGTCGAACAGCTAAAAGTTAACCCAAAAAGTTGTTTATCAAACAAGGCCTATATCTCCATATCTTAAGTACCCACTTCCCACTTTCAGAAATAGAAAGGTGGAATATGCATACCTCTTGAGTCTTGCCAGCATCATGGCATCATCTGAATTTGTTTAGCAATTTGAAAAACCAAAAAATTGTTGGTCATCCACACTATTGAGTTCCTATCTAGGTATGGCCATAAGAATATGGATGATTGGGCTATGTGGCAGGTGGGGGTTATCTGTGTTTGCTGTGCATGAAATAAGGAAAATTTTATACTCTGCAGTTGTATACTTTTATAGTGTGGATACTACCGTTCTGATCACAATGCCCTTTCTATTATGCTCTCTTTCCAAAAACTAGTTGATATGCATATTAATCTCCTTATCCTTTCCTTTTTGACACAACTCATGAAGATGTCCGGACACAAGCAATGTATCAACTTCTGGATTCTGGATTTATCGGATTGATATTTTCATGTTTTAGTGAAGATGCACACAAGGTTTGTGTAGTGTGTTCATACATGGCATGTAGAAAGCATTTTAAACAAAAGCATGCAATTGCTGAGTGAGTTTATTGCTTTTCCTTTCAATTCTTTTTTAGGTTGGAAGAATTCAGGTTATTGCATTTCAGTCCTTGGATGGAAAACAGAATCATGTTTTGAAATCTGTTCCTCTTTCCCCTGTACATAAAAGTTCTGTAATAGATCTAGAATCATCTCTAAGTTCATCAGAGACATCAGGAAGAGCTTCTGCCAGAGGAGATATTCTTGAACAAGACACTGGTGATTCAAGGGCAATTACCTTACCTTCTAAGGTAACTTTGTTGATTATGAACAATTGCTCATTCTTGTTAGCAGGCTTCTGATGTTACGTTCTCTTCCCTGATAAAGTAGTCAAAATTATAGTCTCTCTTCTCCTGGAATGGGCATTTTGCAATTTGTTTATTCATTTATATGGTGGGTGTTTGGGAAGTGAATAAAGTAAATTTAGCTCCATAAATTTTCTTTTGTTTGCAGTCTTGTGGCTGTACCCTGGACCTTGTTTCCTTCCATTTCTTTTTTAATTCCTCTTTCAAAGGTGGGTTGGGTTTGACAATGTTTTTTAAATTCATTTCTGTATTTGGACCACCCACTATTTTCACTGCAAAAGATGGAAGGATAGCAATAGTACCCATGTTTTTGTTTTGTTTTGTTTTGTTTTGTTTTTTTTTTCTAATTTTTAAAATTTTATTTCTAATTGACTTATTGATGTGCTGCCTGAGGTATTGTTGTTGCTACTGCTATTGTTATTGTTCTTGTACCCCTTTATGAATTTGAATAACAGATATGCTTCTGTAATATTCAAATGGTATCACTCTTTTCACTCCATTAATGAATTCGGTCCATATCCATTTGGCTAGGCTGTGGGAAGACCCTCAGACTTGGGGGGTTTCTTTGCTAATATTGATGCCAAGACCGGAGAAAACTTGCATACCAACACTGTCAGTAATGCAGCTATTGAGATAGATCACATGGATATGTCGGAAAGTATGCAAGAAGCAATGCACCTGTCAAATATGGAGATGAGGTACATTTGGAGTAGTACTTCAACACTTCATATAATCATATCATCTCTTTATGTACTGGTACTTGCATTTTGATGTTTGTGACCATTTCAGATCATAGCCAAAGCATTATTTGAACCCCCTTGTCTGGAGCTTTGTTTTCTCTCATTGAAAGTATGAACAGTTTGCAATTTAATGTTAAGAGGTTCTGAATTCACAGTTATTTTTGTTGTGTGGTACTATACTGCAATTCTAATTGTAACCCCTTGTCTCTCGTTATTTATTTTTAATTTTTATTTGTATATTGTATTGTATCCATGCCATGCTTCTTTTCTATTCTCATCTGCTTCCTCTTACATTTTTGTTTGTTAAATTTTGGCACATATGAAGCCCAATGAAAGTAGGATTCATAAAAATTAGTTGTTTGTTAATCATTTTTTGCTTTTCTCCTGGCAGTGGTGCAGAGTATGTCAGGAAGGAAATCCCTCTTCTTGTTATGCCATCGTCATCACTTCTTAATCTCGATACACCTTTGAATTCATTTACTGATCTGCAACGCGTACTATATGAAGAGGAGCGGACTGCATTTAATCAAGCAGTTACACAAAACATGAGGTGGCACATCCAATATATTGTTATTTCTCTTTTGCTTTGCGTGACGCTATGTGCTGCTTTTGATTCTTGTCATCGTTGACATCATCTTTTTTAGGGATGGGAAAGTGCACCCTCTAACTTTTATCCATCACACATCCACATATCAGGCTTCCATGTGCAAACTGATGGAATATTGGTAAAAACAGTTTACGCTTCTGACTTCTTTTTTTTTTTTTGAATAACGAGGGAAACCCCAAAACTCTTTCGAGTGTGAGTAAACCTCACCTTGTGACCCTAGCCGGCAAAGGACCACAAGGAGGTAAACCAGCCTAGGTTACCCATAGCTAACCGGCTCAAACCAAGAAGGCAAGGATTCGAACTCGTGACCTTGTGGTTACAAGTGTGGATCACTTGTCATCTTGGCTGGGGTTACCCCCAGGCTTCTGACTTCTTGTTACTATGCTATGTGTGTTATTGATTTATTGTTACTGACTGCTTTTCATATGAAACAGCTTGAGCCCTGCCATTATTGCTCTCCAGGACCGCTTGCGAGAAAATGAAATTCAGGTGTGAATCATCTTCTTTTGCGTCATACTTTCTTGTATTATTTCTCCCAAGTGGCTGATCAATTACTTAATCTACTTCTCGAGACAGCTAAAGATGCTAGCTGATGAAGCAAAGGTTTTGGAATCGGAGACTAAACGAGCAGAGACAACTTCTACAGTTTCTCCTCGTAGAGGTAGCCCTTCCAATTCACCAGGCCACAAAGACTTGTATCCTCCTGGTGAATTAAGCAACACAAGAACTTTTGGTAGTTCTGGTAGCCGGAGCAGAAAAGGATCCTAAACCCTAATATAAAGATACTAGGATCCTTACTCTAAGCAAGTGTATTATATGTAGTAGTTGGGGGTATTTCTCCCTCTTTTTTGTGCTTCCTTTGAACTGTAATTTTTGGATATGTTGAGAAAGTTCATTTTGTTAATACCTATAATTCAACTGCTCTTTCTCTCAGCTGAATGGTAATTGAAATGCAACATAACACTTGCAAAAGCTGGTTGGGTCCTACATTCAATCTAAGTGGGTTTCTGCCCTAATGTTCTTGAATGAATATGAATTGTGATATGCATGTGCTAACACTTGCAAAAGCCAATAGTTTTTTTTATATTTTTATTTTTATTTTTTTTATGGTTACGGTTACTAAGTTAACAACTTGACTAACTTGATTGGGGTTGTCCCTGCTTCTCCACTATTGCTACCAACAAAATTGGTTTGGTGAAGTTAGCAAAGTTTGCACAATACTATCCAATCTAAGCATGCCACTTACATGTTCAATGATAACTAATTATCTACATGTTTTGCACATGCTAAAGTAGCTTAACTACACTCAACATGCTTTGAAATATATTTCATGTTAAGTGCCTTAGTTTGCATGCTTAGTAATATCATTTTGCTATACTAAGAAGTAAGAGCCATTCCCACAACTTAATACATGGAATATGCTAATTTAGTTTTAAATTTAACCAACACGTTGACATCAAATGTGGGCTAACTCTATGAAAATATAAAGTTAGAAGAGACCTAATTCAAGTTGTTATCTTTATCTTTATTAAAAAATAAAGTTAGATCTTTATTAAAATATAAATATAAATTAAAGTGATAAGAGACCTAATACAAGTTGATAAAGTTGGAAGAGAGAAAAAAAGAAACCATTTATGTGAGTCTATCCTATGTTGACATCTCTTTTCTAGATAATAATAATATCTTTATATAAAACACTACTCTACCTCTCTACTAAAAAAAAATATAAAACACTACTCTACACCACCTCGTTCACATCATTTACAAGCAAAGCTTCAAACTTTTTCCGTAGAGTTGCTTTTCCGAAGGAGATTTTCACCATCTTTATGGCTGCATGTAACTTTTCACTTCTCTTTTCTCTATATTGACACTTCAACTATCTCTATATAGATATATTACATACCAATTTTCACTAGTCTCCAGCTTTTCTCCAATTTTTAATCAAACAAAACTTCTTATTTGATTTGAATAGAATGCTGATGAATTGCGTTTGAATTACTCTCTTTCCATCACTTTAATTATTTTCTTGGTTTCAGGTTTTGTTTTCGAATTTGTTTTATAATTTGCTGATCGGCTAGCTGGTTCTGAGTTTTTTTTTTTTTTTTTTTTTTTTTTTTTTGGGTTCTAACAGTGAAGCTAGAGGCTTCTACTCTAACAATAACAAGCCTGAATTTGGGTTCCCCGAGACCCAAATTGACTACATTTGGTGCTGTCAAAATTCAGTCTTTGGTTAAGTATAATGGTCTGCTAATATCCTCCAAGCCAAAGAAACCATTGATGGGGTGTCGAGCTTCCACTTCTGAAACTCAATGTCGGTTTGTATTTTTAGTTTTGCCCTCTTCATTCACTTGCATGTGGTTTTGGTTTTCTTTATCTGATGAAGTTTTGGTTTCTTAAGGTTTTAATGTGCTCTATATAATTATTCTTGTTTGTACTTGATTTTTTTTTTTTTTGGTGAAACTTGTTTGTACTTGATGCTTATGGAGTTATGGTGCTAGTGCTTCAACATTAATGTGAAACCTTTTCAAATTCTGAGCACATATGGTAATAATTGGTGGGTTTTGGTATGTAATTATATTCAAACATGTTAAATTAGTGTTTTTTTTGGCCTATCTAATTAAGCTGGTTGAAACAAACAATTAAGACAGTTGCTAGGATATGATGGAGTTGTATTATTATATATGGATTTCAGTATTAATCTGGCAAGAATGGAATTGGCAGGTGAATACTGCTCCTCCTGCCTATTGCATACATCAGATCGAATCCTTTAGAAATGTATACTTTCAATGATTATAACAGTTGCCAATTGAGTTTTATGCTCTTGGAAATTATTCGTGTGTGTGTGAAGTAACACTTTGCTGTTTCTGGAAAACGCTTTGTAAAAATGCATGCAGCTAAGAAAAGTTCAGATGGAAATCGTAAGGAGGTTTTCTCTTCACCTGCAGTTTTCCTTACTCAAGAGAGGTGAGCATCCATCTCGTCTTTGCATTGTAATTACTTGTCTGATAGGATGGGATGAAAATTTCTCTCTGCCCTTTAAAAGTGGCATGATCAGGAGGATTAGAGGGGACAAAAAAGGAATAGAACGCAAAGGAAAAAGATGCTTGCTTCTCGTTTTGTTACCACGCTTGTATACATGATGGCATTTTGTTGTCTTGCTTTTATAGATACAGAATCTACTCACAGAATTCTCTGATTCAGAATCAATTGCAGAGTTTCAGTTAAAAGTAAGCAATATTTAATTCTTTTCCTATTATGGCATCCTTAGCTTGATGAGTAATTTTCTGCTACTTTTGTATGTTCATCTATCATCTACTTTTAATCTTTCTTTTCTTTATCAGCAGATATATTTTCAACTCACCTTCTTCGTTTGTTTTGTTTTAGCTGGGTGATTTTGAGTTACATGTGATGAGGAACTTGAATGGGAAAAGCACGCCACCTCCTCCAATAACTGCACCTGCTGTCACTGTCACTATCTCTACAGCTGCTGAAACAACATCCTTAGCCCTCGGTAAACCATTAGTGACCCCTTCTCAAAAAGATGCATTGCTTGCTAGAGCTGCAGAGGAAGGTTTTGTTGTAATTCAGTCCCCTCGGGTAAGAATATATATATATTTGTGATTAATATGATATATATACAAGCTGTACTTGTGTGTCTCCAGCAGTCCAGCACTAAGTTTTCGTGTTGCAGGTTGGCTTTTTTAGGAGATCTCGTACTCTTAAAGGAAAGTGCGGTCCACCATCTTGTAAAGAGGTCGGATCAGAACCACCTTTTTTGCTAAAATCGACATTTATGCACAATTTTAAATCTCTTTGTGTTTCTGGTTCAAGACCGCGTTGTATGATCTCTCATCCGATTCTGGTCCAACTACTGACTGAATGTTTATTTGGTACTCTTAACAGAATCAAGTAGTCCATGAGGGCCAAGTTCTCTGCTACGTTGATCAGCTTGGTGGGGAGATGCCTGTTGAGGTTTAATTTAGACCTTGATTTCGACGTAATAATTTCTTAATGACTAGAACTACATTCAATGGTCCACAACTGATCGTTTTTCCCTATGTGTTTCGGGTTGAAACTTTTGCTGCAGGCTGATGTATCGGGAGAAGTTGTCAGCATATTGCTCGAAGATGGAGGTATGTATGTTTCTTGGAGTGTGATACGATAATTTATATATGTAGCGTATGGCTTGATATTCTGGTGTTTTGCAGCTCCTGTTGGATATGGCGATCGCTTGATTGTCATTCTGCCTTCTTTCCCTGGCGTTAAAGAGTTTCCGTAGATTATAGGTTGTAGCCTAAACCTTAATATGTACCTTATTATGCTCATTTTCAATTTTGAAGAAAGTAGATAGATTGTACAGGGAATTGGTCAGAATGTAGATCCATCCTGCAACTATTTAGTCTCTCTGATCTCTGTTGTGTTGTTTTTCTTTACAAATTACAACTCAGTGAAATTTGACAAGGAGTTGCTCAATATAATGAAGGTTATTATCGTTATTATTAAAGTATAAAGTTGAATCTCTATGAAAATATAAATTAAAGTCGGAGAAGTCCTAACTCCTAACAGATGTAATTGTTCTTACTAAAGTATAAAGTTGGACAAGCGGAAAAAAGAAATAACTCATATGAGTCTATCTTACATAGCTATCTCTTCCCAAGTCCTACACGTACAACTAGCGGCAATACCATGCATTATGTAAAGCACAAACAAAGCTTCAAATTAAACTTTTGCAACAAAGTTGTTTTGCCTTGGAATTTTTGCTCTCTTCATGATTCTATGTAATTTTTCGCTTCTCTTTTCTCTATATTACTTCAACTATCTTTGTATAGATATTTTAGGCTATCCTTATTCCAGCAATTTCTCACTTTTTAAAATAGGTTCCACTTCCACATCATCAAATTTACAAATTATCTACTATTTGTTCTACATCCTTGCAATATTCTCTCACTTTCTAAAATGGTCACACTTTCATATTATTCCCACTTTCACATCATCAAATTTACAAATTATCTACTATTTGTTCTACATCGCTCAATATTCTCTCACTTTCTAAAATGGTCACACTATCATATTATATTATAAATATAATAATAAAATAACAAAAAGTAAAAAGAGAAGTCAAAAGGCTGCTAAAGCTTGCTATTCTTGCAAGCTTTCATGCCATGTAGGATTAAAAATTAAAGCAAAATAAAAATAAAAACTCCACATCATCTGACATATCATTTTGCAATTGATCCACTTTCTGAGATAAGGACAGTCTTACATGTCAATTTTTCCTGACAAGCTAGTAACAACATTGTTATATAAATGTTTTTTTTTTTTTTTTATGCCACTTTGTTTACATCGCCTGCTAGCAAAGCTTCAGACTTTTGTTGCAAAATTCTTTTACAGGGTGGTTTTGCTCTCAAGAATAACTACATATAACTTTAATTTCCACTTCTCTTTTTTTCATATTCACACTTTAACTATCTTACTATAGAGATATCTTACATACCAATTCTTGTTCGATCATCTTTAGCTTCTTCTTCCATTTAATCAAACAAAACTTTTTTTTATATGATTTGAATATATAGAATGCTGATGAACTGCATGTGAATAGTCTCTTTTTGCATTACTTGAATGATACTCTGGACCTATCTTTATTTTATGGGTTTGAGTTTTTCTTTTTTAATTTGTTTTATAATCTCAATAATTTGCTGATGTGCTTATAATAAATAATACCAAATACTTTTTGTTTTTTTTTTTTTTTTTTTTTACAAATTGCTTATATTACCGGGGAGTCAAAATAACTAATACAATAAGCTATTTGTTAATAGCTAATTACTGAATACCACATTATATATTTTTACCAATTATATATTTTAAATTTAATTAATGATATATAATATCCATTACATAAAATATAATATATGTTCATATGAAAATTATTACAATAAAAAATAATATATATATATATATATATATATATATATATATTGCACCCAATACAATTCAAGCCAAATTAAATAGAGGTTGACTCGATATAATCCATATTGTATTTATTTAAATATAAAGGTAGAAGAGACCTACCTCAGCTTTCTATCCTTATTTTAAAGTATAAAGTTGAATCCTTGTCAAAATATAAATTAAAGTTGGAGGAGTCCTTACACAATTAACTATCCTCATCAGGGTATAAAGTTAAAAAAGAAAGAAAAAAAAATCGTCCATATGAGTCTATCCTACGCTGACATCTTCTTTTTCTGAGTGTGATGTAAGTCTTATGCAACTAGTGACAACACCACTATTTACAACTTTTATACCACCTTGTTTACATCATTGTCTATGAGCAAAGCTTCAGAATTTTGTAGCAAATTAAAGTTCTTCTCTGAGGTAGTTTTGCTATCATTTATGGCTTGCATGTAACTCTCTAATTCTCCTTTTTTTTTTTTTTTTTTTTTTTTTTTTTTTTGTATATTAACACTTTAACTATCTTTGTATTGATATCTCATATACCAATTTTGACTGATCATTAGCTTGTTCTCCAATTTAAGCAAACAACTTTTTCATTTGATTTGAATAAAATGCTAATGAATTGCATGTGAATTACTCTCATTCCGCATTAGAGCATCCTCAATAGTGTGGATGTTGGTGTGGTTTTTGTAGGTGTGATTAGAAAAAAGAAGAAAAAAATTTAAGCAAATGTTGATTTCTAAAAATAAATAAATAAATAAATAAGGTTAAGCACTGCCATTAGGGCGCGTGCAGTGCACACGACGCCTACTAGGCAGCATTTCTAAAAAAAACCCCTTCCTTGCAGGAGCATGTCTACCCTTTTCTCTCTCCTATCTCTCTCCTTCACCTCATCAGAAATCTCTCAAAATTTAGTCCAAACTTGTACAAAACCTCCCTTTTAGGGATGCTCTTACTCTAATTGATATTCTGGACTCTATTTTCTTGGTTTGAGTTTTTTCTTTTTGAATTTGTTTTATAATCTTGAGAATTTGTTGATTTAGATTTTTTTTTATTTTTTTTATTTTTTTTTAGATTGTAACAGTGAAGCTAGAGGCTTCTACTTTGGAGATAACAAGCCTGAATTTGGGTTCCGCTAGACCCAAATTGCTACATGCACATCAAACTTCAACAACTCATTCTTTCCCTAACTCTTAATTAATGCTTCACAACCTCCCATGCTATTCAAATCAACTTCACTTCTTTGTAAAAAAAAAAAAATAGAAGATTACCTAACACAATTTATATCCCTGACTTTAATTATCATGTTGATTCAAGTATTGTAACATGGAAGTTGGACCTGGACGGCCCTTGTAAACTTATCTCTATCAAAATATAAAATTAGAGGAGACCTAATTCAAGTTGTTATCTTTATTAATGTATAAAGTTGAATTTTTATTAAAATATAAATTAAAGTGATAAGAGACCTAACCCAAGTTGATAAAGTTAGAAGAGAGAGAAAAAAAAAAAACTGTTCATGTGAGCATATCTTACATTACGTAAAGCTGCTCTATACCACCTCGTTCACGTCGTCTACAAGCAAAGCTACAAACTTTTTCGGTTGATGTTCTGAGGGAGATTCTAACTTTTTTCGTTGCTTTTTTGAAGGAGATTCTATACCACCTGGTTCACATCGTCTACAAGTAAAGCTGAAAACTTTTTCCGTTGCTTTACTGAAGGAGATTCTAACTTTTTCCCGTTGCTTTTCTGAAAGAGATTCTATACCACCTCGTGAGATTTTCACCATCTTTATGGCTGCATGTAACTTTTCCACTTCTCTTTTCTCTATATTGACACTTCAACTATCTATGTATAAATATATTACATACCAATTTTCACTAATCTCCAACTTTTCTCCCATTTTTAATCAAACAAAACTTCTTATTTGATTTGAATAGAATGCTGAATTGCGTTTGAATTCCTCTCTTTCCCCATCACTTCAATCGAAACTCCGGATGTACCTCTATTTTCTTGGTTCCAGTTTTTTTATTTTTTTTTTTATTATTTTTATTTTTTTTATCGAATTTGTTTTATAATCTCGATAATTTGCTGATCGGCTAGCTGGTTCTGAGTTTTTTTTTTTTTTTTTGGGGTTCTAACAGTGAATACTCTGACGATAACAAGCCTGAATTTGGGTTCCGCGAGACCCAAATTGACTACATTTGGTGGTGTCAAAATTCAGTCTTTGGTTAAGTATAATGGTCTGCTAATATCCTCCAAGCCAGAGAAACCATTGGTGGGGTGTCGAGCTTCCACTTCTGAAACTCAATGTGGGTTTGTATTTTTAGTTTTGTCCTCTTCATTCACTTAATTGCATGTAGGTTTGGTTTTCTTTCTGATGTTTTGGTTTCTTAAGGTTTTAATGTTTGATTATTGTTCTTAGCTTGTTTGTACGGTGCTAGTGCTTGAACATGAATGTGAAACATTTTCAAATTCTGAGCACATATGGTAATAATTGATGGGTTTTGGTATGTAATTATATTCAAACATGTTAAATTAGTGTTTTTTTTTTTGGCCTATCTAATAAAGCTGATTGAAACAAACAATTAAGACACTTAGCTTGCTAGGATGTCATATTCCATTACTTCACTATTAATCTGGCAAGAATGGAATTGGCAGGTAAATACTTATACTGCCCCTCCTGCCTATTGCATACATCAGATCGAATCCTTTAGAAATTTATACTTTCAATGATTATAACACTTGCCAAGAGTTAGTTTTATGCTCTTGGAAATTATTCGTGTGTGTGTGTCTGGCTGTTTCTGGAAAACATTTGAGTGTTTGGTAAATAACTATTAACTGATTAGGTTAGTGGGTTGACTAGTTGATAACATTAGTTGATTGTAGAAAAGTGTTTGGTACATCAGCTGTTAGCTTATAGCTAATTACATGCAAAATGATTTTTTTTTAAAAATTGATTGAAAAAGCTGCTTTGAGCAACTTTTTTGAATTTTAGCATTTTGGAACAATAAGTTTGTTACAAAAAGCTAATTAATCAAACATTCATATTGGTTGTTTAACCAAGTCAAACAACTAATAGTGGTCAAATAAGCTAAAATTGGCTAATAAGCTAACTATGTTATAACCAAACATGGCCATTTTGCTTCTGCTCATTGTTAACTGCTGCTTTCCATTTAATGAGTTACGTTATGCTCCTTAGTCCTTCCTATGTAACTGCTGCCTCTCCACCTTATTTCTATTTTTACTTTTTTTTTTTTTTTTTTTTTTTTTTTTTTTTTTTTTGCTTTGTAAAAACGCATGCAATGCAGCTAAGAAAAGTTCAGATGGATATCATAAGGAGGTTTTCTCTTCACCTGCAGTTAGCCAACTCATTCCTTACTTAAGAGAGGTGAGCATCCATCTCGTCTTTGCATTGTAATTACTTGTCTGATGGCATGAAAATTCTTTCTTCTGCCCTTTAAAAGTGGCATGATCGGGAGGATTAGAGGGGACAAAAAAGGAATAGAACGCAAAGGAAAAAGTTTTTTGTCAAATGCTTGAGATGTGTCTTAGCCATACCATCATATACCCAAATCCCTTTCAATTATTCTTATTTTTTATCCTCAAAGCAGAACGAACCTTTTGACAATGCCTGTCCATTATTTTGCATTCTTATTTTTATAAAGTTGGGGTCTTTGATAAGTGATAACTACAAGGATATACCATGACCTTATTCAACATTCAATCTTCTCGTTTTGTTACCAAGCTTGTATACATGATGTCATTTTGTTTAACTCCTGTATGTCTTGCTTTTATAGATACAGAATCTACTCACAGAATTCTCTGATTCAGAATCAATTGCAGAGTTTCAGTTAAAAGTAAGCAATATTATTTCCTTCTTTTCCAAGTATTTCCTATTACGGCATCCTTGATGAGTAGTTTTCTGCTCCTTTTAATCAGCAATATATTTTTAACTCACCTTCTTTGTTTTGTTTTAGCTCGGTGAATTTGAGTTACATGTGATGAGGAACTTGAATGGGAAAAGCACGCCACCTCCTCCAGTAACTGCACCTGTCACTGTCACCGTCTCTCCAGTTGCTGAAGCACCTAACTCATACACTTCAATTTCAACAACATCCTTAGCCCTTGGTAAACCATTAGTGACCCCTCGTGAAAAAGATGCATTGCTTGCTAGAGCTGCAGAGGAAGGTTTTGTTGTAATTCAGTCCCCTCGAGTAAGAGTATATATATATATATTAATATATATTTGTGATCGATTAAATATGATATAAATACAAGATGTACGTGTGTGTCTCCAGCAGTCCAGCACTAAGTTTTCGTGTTACGTTGCAGGTTGGCTTTTTTAGGAGATCTCGTACTCTTAAAGGAAAGAGAGGTCCACCATCTTGTAAAGAGGTAGGATCGTCAGAACCACCTTTTTGCTAAAATCGACATTTATGCACAATTTTAAATCTCTTTGTGTTTCTGGTCCATGACCGCGTTCTATGATCTCTCATCCAGTTCTCGTCCAACTACTAACTGAATGTTTATTTGGTACTCTTAACAGAATCAAGTAGTCAATGAGGGCCAAGTTCTCTGCTACGTTGATCAGCTTGGTGGGGAGATGCCTGTTGAGGTTAATTTAATTTGGACATTGATTTCGACATAATAATTTCTTAATGAGTTGAACTACATTCAATGGTCCACAACTGATCATTTTTCCCTGTGTGTTTCGGGTTGAAACTTTTGCAGGCTGATGTATCGGGAGAAGTTGTCAGCATATTGCTGGAAGATGGAGGTATGTATGTATGTATGTATATATGTTTCTTGGAGTGTGATATGATAATTTATATATGTAGCGTATGGCTTGATATTCTGGTGTTGTGCAGCTCCTATTGGATATGGCGATCCCTTGATTGTCATTTTGCCTTCTTTCCATGGCGTTGAAGAGCTTCCATAGATTATCTGTTGTAGCCTAAACCTTAGTATGTACCATACCTTATTATGCTTATTTTTTATTTTGAAGAAAGTAGATAGATTGTAAAGGGAATTGGTCAGAATATAATGTAGATCCATCCTGCAACTAATTTAGTCTCTCTCTTGTATTGTTTTTCTTTACAAATTATAACTCAGTGAAATTTGACGAGTTACTCAATATAATGAAGGTTGCTATATTTATTAAAGTATAAAGTTGAATCTTTATGAAAATATAAATTAAAGTTGGAGGAGTCCTAATAACTCCTAATTATAGACGTGACTGTTCTTATTAAAGTATAAAGTTGGACAATAGGGAAAAAGAAATAACTCATATGGGTCTATTTTATATAGCTATCTCTTTCCAAGTCCTACATGGCTCAAAGTTGCTTTGTCTTGGGATTTTTTGCTCTGTTCATAGTTTCATGTAACTTTCCACTTCTCTTTTCTTTATATTCAGTATATTAATTGATACTTCAACTATCTTTGTATAGATATTTTACATGTCAATTTTTCATTGACAAGCAGTGACAATATCGTCATATAAAGTGTTTTTTTTTTCTTTTTTTTTTCTTTTCTTTTTGTGCCACCTTGTTTACATCGTCTCTAAGCAAAGCTTCAGACTTTTACCGTAAAATTCTTTGACAGGGTGGTTTTGCTCTCATTTATAACTACATATGGTGGTTTTGCTCTCATTTATAACTACATATAACTTATAATTTCCATCTTTTTTTTTTTTTTTTTTTTTTTTTTTTTTCATATTGACACTTTAACTATCTTTGCATAGAGATATCTTACATATCAATTCTTATTCGATCATCTTTAATTTAGCTTCTTCTTCAGGCCAATTTAATCAAACAAAACTTTTTTTTATATGATTTGAAATATATAGAATGCTGATGAATTGCATGTGAATTACTCTCTTTTTGCATTACTTGAAATGATACTCTGGACTGTCTTTATTTTATTGGTTGAGTTTTTCTTTTTAAATTTGTTTTATAATCTCAATAATTTGCTGATGTGCTTGTTCTGAGTTTTATTTGGCTTCTAACAGTCAAGCTAGAGGCTTTAACAGCACTTTATGTACTTTAAAGTCATTTTATATATTACTTTCATATAATAAATAATATCAAATACTTTTTTTTTTTTTTTTTTTACAAATTGCTAATATTACCAACAAATTAAAATATATAACTAATACAATCAACTATCCTCTAATAGTTAATTGTTGAACACCCCATTATATACTTTACCAATTATATATTTTTAAATTTAATTAATGATATATAATATCCATTACATAAAATTAAGTATTGCTATAATAATATATGTTCATATGAAATTATTACAATAAATAAAAAAAAAAGTAATTTGAGATTGCACCGATTGTATGCAAACCTCTCCTTCACATTTAGTTACATTTATTTATGCACAATTTTAAATCTCTTTGCATTTATGGACCATGACTGATTGTATGCAAACCTCTCCTTCAACTACTAACTAATGTTTTTGTATAATAGAATCAAGTAGTTGATGAGGACCAAGTTCTTTGCTACATAGATCAGTTTGGTTGGGAGATGCCTGTTGAAGTTTGGACCTTGATATTTTAGTGTTGTGATTTTTGTATATGTTGTGTAATGTAACTCCTGTTCCTGTTATGATCATTTTGCATTCTTCCCCTGGCGTTAAAGAATTTTCATAGATTATTTGTTACGTTGTAGCCCAAACCTTAGCATGTACCTTATTACGCTTGATAATCAAAGATGAAATTCTCATTGTCTTTAACGCCGAATAAATAACCAACATTACTGCAACTAGAATTGTCACGATCCTCCCGACTCTAAATGTTTTTTAATCAGAGTAAGGGTCAAATAAATCTTTGAACTATTCATAAAAGTATAATTAAGCCCTCAGAACAAAAACAAAAATACAAAAATAAAAAAACTCCAATTAGATACATGAACTTAAAAAAAAAAAAAAAGTACAATTAATTCAATTTGACCTGTTATTGCCACATTAATATGTTTTGATGACTTGATGCACAAATCATAATAGGATTGGTATGTATGTATATAGTCGATCGGGCAAAGGACACGTGTAGTGACCGGCGTAATACCAGCTTTCAACGTTGTTGCTTGCTTTTTTTTTACTACTAGCTCTATTACATTGTAGTATCTGTTCATATACTTTCTCTCAACCTACTGAAACACAAAGAGCTAATAACGCCTCCACGGAGGCTCGAACTCACAACCTTCCAAGTGAAAGTCCAACCCGGGTACCATTGGACCACATAGTCCTGGTTGTTGCTTGCTTCTTAAGTTCTTACTATCAACTTTCTTCTTTCCTCTTTCATTTCCTTAGCATTAATCCAAATACTGTAAACATGGACCTCCGTGAATCCATCAAGAATCAGGTACATGTTTCCTTAACCCTAGCCAAGCACATCTTCTCTACAGAAGACAGAGCAGATTCCAACCTAGTTTTTTCTCCTCTCTCCATTAATATCATCTTGGGTCTGATTGCCGCCGGCTCCAAAGGCCCCACTCTCGACCAGCTACTCGGTTTCCTCAAGTCTAAGTCCACCGACGATCTCAACGCATTTTCTTCTCAGATCGTCACCGTTATCTTCTCGGACGGCAGCCTCATCGGCGGCCCACGCTTGTCGGTGGCAAACGGTGCGTGGATCGACCAGACTTGGTCTTTCAAGCCTTCCTTCAAACACGTGGTGGACAGTGTTTACAATGCCGTTTCTGAATCAGTTGATTTTCAGCACAAGGTTAGTTTTTTTTTTTTTTAATCTCCCATTGGGTTCTTACAAAGTTTAATTTGCTTCTCTTTTAGATAGTGATACTATCCAATCCAAACTATGAACTTGGTTTCTCTTGTCTGCTTTGATTGCTTTTTCATAAGAAAGATTTTCAGAGCATATTATTTGAAAGTTGAAACCTTTTTGGATCATTAATGTTATTCTGCAATGGATGTGTTTTTGGGATTGGATTGGATTGCCCTAACTTTGGTCGGAACTGTGAAGAATAGACAAATAGGGAGTAAATGATTTGGGGGATAATTGAATTATGTGGTGTTTACAGTGCTCTTTGTTGTTAGTTGCTTTAGTAGTCATGACAAATGGCAATCCCTCTGTCACTTCCCAAAGTTTTTTCTTTTCCAGTCTAAATGCTTTTAAGTAGTCCAATTTTAGTTTGTAGTTTATGTTTTGAATTTTTGTTTTTTAAGGTCTTTTACTCTGCCTTTTCCATGGCAATTCAATGTTTTCAGTGTACAAAAATGGGGAAGAATGACATTGTTGATTTATTTGATTTGGCAGGCGAGTGAAGTGGCTAACCAAGTGAATTTGTGGGCAGAGAAGGAAACTGGTGGTCTGATCAAAGAGATACTTCCCGGGGGTGCAGTTAACAATAACACAAGGCTGGTTTTTGCAAATGCTTTGTATTTTAAAGGAGCCTGGACCGAGAAATTCAATGCATCTGATACAACAGATCAGGAGTTCCACCTCCTTAACGGGAGCTCTGTCCAAGTTCCCTTCATGAGCAGCAAGAAGAAGCAGTGCGTGAAAGCGTTTGAAGGCTTCAAAGTCTTGGGGCTACCTTATGAACAAGGCGAAGATAAGCGCCATTTCTCCATGTACTTCTTTTTGCCAGATGCCCGGGATGGACTGCCATCTTTGATGGATAAGGTCACTTCTGAATCCGGATTCTTGGAGCGCCACCTCCCCGGTCATGCTGTTTCGGTGGGCGAGTTTCGTATCCCAAAATTCAAAATATCCTTCGGCTTTGAAGCTTCAAGGGTTCTTAAGGAGCTCGGTGTGGTGTCACCTTTCGCTGGCGAGGGTCTCACTGAAATGGTGGACTCCCCGTGGGAAATGGCCTCTACGTTTCGCGAATTTTCCACAAGACCTTTGTTGAGGTTAATGAGGAAGGTACAGCAGCTGCAGCTGCTACTGATGTTATGCTGGAGAGCCTATGCTGGGTAGTGGAAGAGAATGTAGACTTCGTGGCCGACCATCCGTTCATCTTTTTCATTCGAGAAGATTTGACTGGAGTCGTCGTCTTCATCGGGACTCTACTTAATCCTCTTAATTAATCAAGGTATCAAACTGCAACTAATTTGTTAACTTGAAGCAAAATGTATATCAAAGCAGCTCCTGTTGGATATGGCTGATCCCTTGATTGTTATTCTGCCTTCTTTCCATGGCGTTGAAGAGCTTCCGTAGATTATCTGTTGTAGCCTGAACCTTAGTTTGTACCGTATCTTATTATGCTCATTTTTTATTTTGAAGAAAGTAGATAGATTTTAAAGGGAATTGGTCAGGATATACTGTAGATCCATCCTGCAACTAATTTAGTCTCTCTCTTGTGTTGTTTTACTTTACAAATTACAACTCAGTGAAATATAATGAAGGTTGCTATATTTATTAAAGTATAAAGGGGAATCTTTATGAAAATATAAATTAAAGTTGGAGTTCTAACTCCTAATTACAGACGTGATTGTTCTTATTAAAGTATAAAGTTGGACAAGAAGGAAAAAGAAATAATTCATATGAGTCTATTTTACATAGCTTTGTCTTTTCAAGTTCTACATGGCTAACAGCAATACCACACATTATGTAAAGCGCTTCAAATTAAACTTTTGCAGCAAAGTTGCTTTGCCTTGGGATTTTTTGCTCTCTTCATGATTCCATGTAACTTTCTCTCTTTTCTCTATATTGACACTTCAATTATCTTTGTATAGATATTCTATATGTCAATTTTTCCTTGACAAACTAGTGTCAATATCGTTATATATATATATATATATATATATATATATATATATATATATATATATATATATTTTGCCACCTTGTTTACATCGTCTGTGAGCAAAGCTTCGGACTTTTGCCGCAAAATTCTTTTACGGGGTGGTTTTACTCTCATTCATGATTATATATAATTTTTTTTTTTTTCATATTGACACTTTAACTATTTTTGTATAGAGATATCTTACATAAATTTTTTTTTTATATGATTTGAATATTTAGAATGTTGATGAATCTGGCTTTGATAGGCAAGCAAGCATGGAGATTAATAAAAAATTCTATATCTTTGGTGTTTCTCGAATCTACAAAGCCCGCTATTATCCAAACGGCTCCTATTTTGATGCACAAGCAGGAAGTAACCCATCCTTTATTTGGAGGGGTTTACTAGAGATTCAGAATGTCCTACGAGAAGGCTGTAGGCGGAGTATTGGCAATGACATAGATACGGTAATAGGAGGGGATGCTTGGCTGCCCTCGGTTGATGAGCCCTATATCGAAACTCCAGTGTGCCAAGCAGTTCCTGAATCGTGTGTAGCCACGCTGTTTAATGAAAATGGAACAGGTTGGATGAGGATCGAGTTCGGAATATTTTTGATGCCGGGATGCCAACTTAATTATGAACATTCCAATTTCTGTTTGAAAGCCGCAAGATTCGTGGTACTGGGTGTGGGAACCGAAAGGAGACTATACTGTTAAATCATGTTATCGTCGTCTGAAAGGTGAGATTCACGATACCCGACCATGGATACGAATATGTGTGCCCTCGAAAGTCAAGCATTTTTGTTGGCAAACTAGCTTCTTCCTTTCTGCCAACTAGAGATGCTCTCCAATCAAAAAATATTCATTGCAATTTAATTTGTCACATGTGCAGGAAGGAGTAGAGTGCTTACCACCTTTTTGTCCAATGTACAGAAGTTGCTAATGTTTGGAGACAGATTGGACTGCCAGCGATGGGAGTGGCTTATGGTAATGTCATTGACTGGTTTTTTGCATTCGTTACTTCTTTGAGTAGGGAAGTCTTACACAAGTTTATTATGGCATGTGGGGGTTGTGACAAAGTCGAAATGATAGCGTTTGGAAGGTGGTAAATTTTGATGTTAATATAATGTTTTGTCGTGCCATTAATTTCTGGCGTAACTGGACCTCTGTTAATATACTGGGTTGTGTGTAGAGCCGTCAAAATGGGCTTAGCCCGCCGGGCTTTCCCGCGCGGGCGGGGCGGGCTCATGGTTTTGAAGCCCGTATTAAAAACGGGCTTTTTTGCCCGCCCCGCCTAGCCCGCGGGCTTGGCGGGTAGCCCGCCAGCCCGCCTAGCCCGCGGGCTTGGCGGGTAGCCCGCCAGCCCGCCTTTTTTTTTTTTTTTTTTTTAGTTTTTTTAGTTTTTAAGTTTATATATATATATATATATATATATATATATATATATATATATATATATATATATATACAGATTTACAGGCGGGCTTTGGCGGGGCCCGCGGGCCTAAGGCGGGGCGGGGCGGGCTGCCCCTACCTAGGCCCGTATTATTGGCGGGCTTTTTAGCCCGCCCCGCCAAAAGGCGGGCTTTGGCGGGCTTTGGCCCGCCAGCCCGCTTTGACAGCTCTAGTTGTGTGAGCAATGGAAGCCGCCAACTTAGGGACGAAAAATGCACTTTTCCCTACATTTTATTTATGCATAATTTTAAATCTCTTTGCATTTCTGGACCATGACCGATTGTATGCAGACCTTTTCTTCAACTACTAACTAATGTTTCTGGCACGCATAACAGAATCAAGTAGTTGATGAGGATCGGACCAAGTTCTTTGCTACATAGATCAGTTTGGTTGGGAGATGTTTGTTGAAGTTTGGACCTTGATTTTGATGTAATCTCTTAATTAGTTGGACTATATTCAATGACCTAAAACTAATCATTTTTCCCTATATGTTTTGGGTTGAAACTTTTGGAGGCTGATGTGTGTGGAGAGGTTGTGAGCATATTGTTGGAAGATGGAGGTATGTATGTATGTTTGTTGGAGAGTGATATGATCATTTCTTGATTTTTTAGTGTTGTGATTTTTGTATTTGTTGTGCAACTCCGGTTGGATATGGTGATCCTGTTATGATCATTTTGCCTTCTTCCCTTGACTTTAAAAAATTTCCATAGATTATCTGTTACGTTGTAGCCTAAACCTTAGTATGTACCTTATTATGCTCAATCATCGGAGATGAAATTCTCATTGTTTTAATGCTGAATAAATAATCAACATTACTGCAATTAGAATTGTCACGATCCTCCCAACCCTGAATGTTTTTCAGTCGGGGTAAGGGTTAAATAATAAACCATTGAACTATTCATGAAAGTACAATTAAGCTTTCAGAACTAGAAAAAACTCCAATTAGACACATGAACTTAAAAAAAAGGTGCAATTAATCCAATTTAACTTGTTATTGTAGGTAACCTTCAAGTTAAAGGTAATTGGAATGCCACATTAATATGTTTTGATGACTTGATGCACTATGATTGCTGTTTGTTGGAAAATTTGGGAGGCTCGGAATGAAAAATTTTGGAACCATAAAATCCTATCTGTTTCTACTATCTGTAATGGTGCCACCACCTTCTTACAAGAATGGACAGCAATTGCTAATGACCCTCTTGTTTCTTCTCCAAACAGTGGGGTTACTCTTCCCTGGCTAAACCACCACCTGGCTTCCTTAAGGTGAATGTTGATGCGGCCATTGATCAAACAAATAAGAGGATGGGTTTGGGCTTCGTTATTAGAGACTGCTTGGGTTCCTTCATTGCTGCCGGAATGCATCCACTCTCCAGCCTCCACAAACCTAGTGAAGTTGAAGCAGTAGGAGTTCGAGAAGCGCTTAAATGGCTGAAAAACCTCCAACATGACAATATTTAAGTTGAAACAGATTGCCTTCAAGTTGCCAAGAATATTCACTCTCAAAGCTTATCCTCATCTTCAAGAAGCGCTTAAATGGCTGAAAAACCTCCAACATGACAATATTTAAGTTGAAACAGATTGCCTTCAAGTTGTCAAGAATATTCACTCTCAAAGCTTATCCTCATCTTTTGATCTCATTTTACAGGATATTAGAGAAATAGCTACATCTTTTACTATGTTAGCTTTTTATTTACAAAATGGTTTGCGAACACAGTTGTCCACTTACTTATTAGGGAAGTTTTGTCCAAGTCTGACTGTATGAATTATTTTTATGTCGCTTTCTCTTTCATTTTCGATGTACTACTTTCGGATCTTTCTTAATATAGTTATCTCTTTTTTCTTCAAAATAATAATAATAATAATAATAATATAAGGATAGGTATGTATGTATATAGTCGGTCGGGCAAAGGACAAGTGTACTGAGTGACGTAATACTAGCTTTCAACGTTGTTGCTTGCTTCTTACTATCAACTTTCTGCTTTCCTCTTTCATTTCCTTAGCGTTAATCCAAATACTGTAAACATGGACCTCCGTGAATCCATCAAGAATCAGGTAGATGTTTCCTTAACCCTAGCGAAGCACGTCTTCTCTACAGAAGTCAAACCAGATTCCAACCTAGTTTTTTCTCCTCTCTCGATTAATATCATCTTGGGTCTGATTGCCGCCGGCTCCAAAGGTCCCACTCTCGACCAGCTACTCGGTTTCCTCAAGTCTAAGTCCACCGACGATCTCAACGCCTTCTCTTCTCAGATCGTCACCGTTATCTTCTCGGACGGCAGCCCCATCGGCGGCCCACGCTTGTCGGTGGCAAACGGTGCGTGGATCGACCAGACTTTGTCTTTCAAGCCTTCCTTCAAACACGTGGTGGACAGTGTTTACAAGGCCGTTTCTGAATCAGTTGATTTTCAGCACAAGGTTAAGTTTTTTTTTTTTTAATCTCCCATTGGGTTCTTACAAAGTTTAATTTGCTTCTCTTTTAGATGGTGATGCTATCCAATCCGAACTATGAACTTGGCTTCTCTGGTCTGCAATTGATATATTAGTTCTTGAAATGTTGGATTGCTTTTCCCTAATAAAGATTTTCAGAGCATATTATTTGAAAGTTGAAACCTTTTTGCATCATTAATGTTATTCTGCAATGGATATGTTTTTATGTAAGCTTTAATAGTAAGTTAAGGCTATGGGATTGGATTGGATTGCCCTAACTTTGGCCAGAACTGTGAAGAATAGACAAATAGGGAGTAAATGATTTGGGGGATAATTGAATTATGTGGTGTTTACAGTGCTCTTTGTTGTTAGTTGCTTTAGTAGTCATGACAAATGGACGAGTTATACTCCTCGTTATGGGCCTATGAGAGACAGAGTTTGAACGATCGGTTCTGAGAAGAGAGAGTTGGGGAGAAGTTGGAGGAAGAAAATTCCTTTGATTTTATTCAATTTCCAACTTACTAAGACAATCTAATATTCTCCCTATATATATAGGAGTTAAAAGGTTAAGACGTAAGGAAACAATATTCTAAAATATGGTTACTTAAAGTAAAAAGGCAACTACTAATTTACTAGGAAATAAGATAACTAAATTGATTTTAGCTAGATTGGCAGCCCAGGATCTGTATTGTATCACTTTAGTAGTCATGACAAATGGCATTCCCTCTGTCACTTCCCAAATTTTTTTCTTTTCCAGTCTAAATGCTTTTAAGTAGTCCAGTTTTAGTTTGTAGTTTATGTTTTGAATTTTTATTAAGGTCTTTTGGCCTGAGGAGAGTGACATTGTTGATCTATTTGATTGGCAGGCGAGTGAAGTGGCTAGCCAAGTGAATTTGTGGGCAGAGAAGGAAACTGATGGTCTGATCAAAGAGATACTTCCCGCGGGTTCAGTTGACAATACAACAAGGCTGGTTTTCGCAAATGCTTTGTATTTTAAAGGAGCCTGGACTGAGAAATTCAATGCGTCTGATACAACAGATCAGGAGTTCCACCTCCTTAACGGGAGCTCTGTCCAAGTTCCCTTCATGAGCAGCAAGAAGAAGCAGTACGTGGAAGCGTTTGAAGGCTTCAAAGTCTTGGGGCTACCTTATAAACAAGGCGAAGACAAGCGCCATTTCTCCATGTACTTGTTTTTGCCAGATGCCCGGGATGGACTGCCATCTTTGATGGATAAGGTCACTTCTGAATCCGGATTCTTGGAGCGCCACCTCCCCGGTCATGCTGTTTCGGTGGGCGAGTTTCGTATCCCAAAATTCAAAATATCCTTCGGCTTTGAAGCTTCAAGGGTTCTTAAGGAGCTCGGTGTGGTGTCACCTTTCGCTGGCGGGGGTCTCACTGAAATGGTGGACTCCCCCGTGGGAGGTAACCTCTATGTTTCGCAAATTTTCCACAAGACCTTTCTTGAGGTTAACGAGGAAGGTACAGAAGCTGCAGCTGCTACTGCTGTTACACTGAAGCTCCGATGCTTGCTAGTGGAAAAGAAGGTAGACTTCGTGGCTGACCATCCGTTCATCTTTTGCATTCGAGAAGATTTGACTGGAGTCGTCGTCTTCATCGGGACTCTACTTAATCCTCTTAATTAATCAAGGTATCAAACTGAATCTTCTGTATCATGGTTGCTCTTATTTAATGTACCAACAATACTAAATCCGAGCTCAATCTAGCATATATATATATATAGTTCATGTATAAGTAGAAGCAGAGTTTGTGTTTTTGGGGTGGTGCATTGTTAGAAGTCTAAGATCAAGGTTTTGTGTCACTTGATGAAATGATAATAAGTATGTCTTCCCTTCTTGACAAGGGTCTTCATAGAGTATTGCTTGAATTCGACTTTTGCGTGGTCTGCCAACTACTTAATAAGGGTTTTCCCCATTTTTCTTATGTTGGATGTGTCTTAAATTATTATTGTATGCTTATTAGATCTTTTGAGCCTTTTACGATTCGACACATTAGTGAATCTTGTTACTCATACGCAGTGTTGTAAAAATCCCGCCTAGGCATCAATTAATCGGCGTCTAGGCACTAGGCGTTGGCCAGACGCCTAGCATTTCACCATAATCAGTGGTCTAGGTTGCTGGCCAACTAGGCAGTCGACTAGGCCGCCTAAGAACTGCCTAGGCGCTAACCGCCTTGGCCTCCTATGCACCGACTAGGTCGTCAAGTATGCTGGTTAGCTATTGTTTGCTTTTTTTTTTTTTTTTTTTTTTTTTTTTTAATGGGTTACTTCACTCAAAACGATTCGTTTTGAGCGAAATAACTTATTGTTCACTCTAGATTTTTTTTTTTTAAGTTAATATATAATATTTTAGTATTAACTATTAAATTATTAAATACTTTAATTATCAAGTCTTAAAAAATTAAAAATATTTATATAAATTTTTAAAAAATAAAAAAAAATAAAAAGAAAAAAATACACTAATCGCCGATTAATCCCCGTCTAGATGTTCTAGCCGTCGATTAATCCCCGCCTAGATGCCCTAGGCGTTCCCGAGCGCCTAGCAATTTTTTCAACTATGTTCATACGTCAACTAGAGTGTGATAGCTTCTCATACTGCTCAACTAGAAGCTCAACAAATCTGAGATTTGGTTATTCTGAACTTTAGTATTTGATCTTAATGATACCCTTTACTTTCAAAAAAGAAAAAAGATAGATGTAAAAATTTTGTCTCAAATAAATGAATGTAATATGACTTATTTGAAATTCAAAACTTAAATATTTATTCATTACCAATTAATTCTTCATATTAGAAAGTCATAAATTTGAAAGATATTATTGCATTAACAACCAATATAATAATTTTTTTTAATGTATATTCAAAGTTTCCACCGTAGAACATAGTGATAATCCCCCCGCTGAATTGTAGGCACCTCTATTAAGTAGGACAACTTGCTTGAAGATTTAAGCCTGTTCCATTTCCAAAGCAAAGGTCGAACGCTTAACAAACAATATAATATTACAAAAGTGAGTTGTCTCACTTTTTAACTTTCATATGACTTTCAATCATTATATTAATCACCACTCGCAACATATTAATTTGACTCCTTACCTTTTGTTTGGAAATGTCAATTGTTTTGTTTGGATGAAACTTTCGTTTTAAATTTATTTTTGAAGTCTAGAAAAGTTCTGAAAATTTTAAAATCTTTTACATGTTCTTTATATCAAAATCCTCCCTATCACACACTATTATAGGAAAAAATGTCAAATTGACTCCCTAAGTCAAGTGGATAGTGCAATTAGATCCACTAAGTGAAAAAAGTTACATTCAAGTCTCCTAAATCGGTAAAATTGTTCAATTAAGTTGAATTTGACTTGTTTATCAAGTTAAATTGATATGGTGTTGATACGTGTCCTTTAACAAAATGTTTCTTATTTTTTAAAAATTAAAAATAATTATATCTTATAAATAAATAAACTAAACAATTAAAAAAAATAAGGAGAACAGCCACCGGCTGTCCGCGCTGGACAGTCGGTGGCTGTCTTCTTCATGGACAGCCGTGGCTGTCCGGCAGGACGGCCACGACTGTCTAAGGAAGACGGCCATGGCCGACGAAGGAAGATGACCATGGTCGTCTTCTAGATCTGGAACGAGGGCTTTGGCCATGGCCGTCGCCCTCGTTCCAGACGGATGCGAATTTTGATAATCTTGATATTACTATGGAGGCTACGAGTATTGGAAATTAATTAACAAGTTATATGATTGAATGGGAGATAGCTTAATGAATAATAAATTGATAAAAAAAAAAAAAAAGTACACTTGCAAGCGATTTGGTAATTTGAAGTCAAAGCACAGTATCCATTATAGTAGGTCTGAAGTCAAAGCACAATATCCTTTATAGTAGGTCTGAAGTCAAAGCACGGTATCCCCCAATCCCGAAACTCAACCACAAGGAAGTATCCGGAACTCAACCACAAGGAAGTAGACAATGAAACTTAGCCCAATGCCGAAATTCATCCGAACCATAAGGAAGTATCGAAACTTAGCCCAATGCCGAAATTCATCCGAACCACAAGGAAGTATCCTTTAGCCCAATTTCGGAACTCAACCACAAGGAAGTAGACAATGAAACTTAGCCCAATGCCGAAATTCATCCGCTAAAGCCAACTACGCAACTATCTATCTTTGGTAATAGGGTCAAGGAAGATAACCTACTCTGTCATGAAACTTAGCCCTACGCAACTATCTATCTTTGGTAATAGGGTCAAGGAAGATAACCTACTTTGTCATGAAACTTAGCCCAATGCCGAAATTCATCCGCTAAAGCCAATTACGCAACTATCTATCTTTGGTAATAGGGTCAAGGAAGCCAATTACGCAACTATCTATCTTTGGTAATAGGGTCAAGGAAGCCAATTACGCAACTATCTATCTTTGGTAATAGGGTCAAGGAAGCCAATTACGCAACTATCTATCTTTGGTAATAGGGTCAACTGGTCAAGGAAGCCAATTACGCAACTATCTATCTACTCTGTCCGACTTGCCATCGAAATGGAGAGGTTAAAAATCATGCATTCGCCCACCCTGGGGCTTGAACCCAAGACCACAAGGTTAAGAGCCTTGCGCTCTACCAACTGAGCTAGACGGGCAAGTGTTTATGTATAGTTAATCTTGATATTACTATGGAGGCTACGAGTATTGAAAATTAATTAACAAGTTACACGATTGAATGAGAGATAGCTTAATGAATAATAAAATTTCAAGATCTAGAAGACGGCCGTGGCCATCTTCCTTCGTCGGAAGTAGACAATGAAACTTAGCCCAATGTCGAAATTCATCCGCCGCTAAGGCTGTCCTTACCCCTGCCAATATCATATTGGCAAGATGAGTTGGACAATGCCATGTATGTTTTTTTTTTTTTTTTTTTTTTTTTTTTTTTAAATAGTGAGGTGGGTTGCAAGTTTGCTCTGCATGCAAACTTGCAACCGTACAAAAAGCTGCCGCAATGTACTTTTTTTTTTTTTAGTTTTTTTTTTTTAGTTTTTTATTTAGTTTATTTAATTTTGTTTTCTTTCTTTTATTTTATTTGTATTTTGTTTTGTATTTTGCGTTATTAATTTTTTTATATTTAATGTGTAATATTTTTTTAAAATTACGTGTCTAAAATTTATGTTGATAAAGATACATTTTTTTTTTGTAAGATTGATATACATACATTCATTACTATACATAAATTAATTCATTAATACATACATTTAGTTTTTCCATTAATACATACGTAATTAGTTATTTTCACATTTGTTATATTTAATATTTAAATATAAGTTATATATTGATATAAATAAATAATGTTGAAGACAAAATAATATTTATTAAGAAAAAAAATATTAATTTTTTAAAGTGATGTGAAATTGGGGCCCACTTTTGAAAGTTGATTGGATTTGAAGGGATGTAGTGTGAATAGTAGATAATTTGCAAATGGGATGATGTGGAAGTGGGACCCATTTTTGAGAGTGGGAGATGTTTGCAGGGGTAAGGACAGCCTAAAACCATCAGAACTCATCTAAAGTGGAATATTGGAAATCATGGGAGAAGCACATTTAAGGAGGATAACCTACTCTGTCCGACTTGCCATCAGAATGGAGAGGTAAATAATCATGCATTCGCCCACCCTGGGGCTAAGGTTAAGAGCCTTACGCTCTACCAACTGAGCTAGACGGGCAAGTGCTTATGTATAGTTAATCTTGATATTACTATGGAGGCTACGAGTATTGAAAATTAATTAACAAGTTACACGATTGAATGTGAGATAGCTTAATGAATAATAAATTTTCAAGATCTAGCTAGAAGACGGCCATGGCCTTCTTCCTTCGTCGGCCGTGGCCGTCTTCCTTAGACGGCCATGGTCGTCCTGCCGGACAACCACGGCTGTCCGTGAAGAAGACAGCCACCGACTGTCCGGCCGGCTGCCGGACAGCCATGGGCTGTTCTCTTCTTTTATTTTTTATTTATTTTTTATTTTTTTAATTATTTAGTTTATTTATTTATTTATAATAAATAATAAATAATTATTTTTAATTTTTAATAATAACAAATAAAAAACATTTTGTTTTAAAGAATAAAATTAAAAGGACACGTGTCAACACCACATCGATTTAACATGATAAACAAGTCAAATTGGACTTAATTGAACAATTATACCGGTTTAGGAGACTTGAAGTCTTGAACAAAACTTTTTTCAGTTAGGGGACCCAATTGCACTGTCCACTCGACTTAGGAAGCCAATTTGACACTTTTTCCCACTATTATATTATATATTAGGTTAAGAGAGAAATAATGAAGAGTGATGGGTAGAAAATGACTTTGCAACCAATTATCTTATAATTTACTAGCATGGAAAATGATATGATCAGTTGATAACATTGGTTTAATAATCGTTTTTGGTTAATTGTTTTTATTATGTATTTGTTACATTTGGAGCAAAAAAGACTTCCATTATACTACTACTGCAACAATTCATTCAACTCCCAAGCAAGGTAGCTTGTGAATTAATTTGTTTTTCATTTAATACAAAGGAACCTTTTTTAACATTAGGAATTACAAGAGTTACTAGTTTATTTCTTATTGTCACTCCATTCACATTTGACAATTGGTTTGCTATTCTCTCTCTTGCTCAAAACAGCCAGTTTATTCAACTTACAATGAACAATGCTACACCTATGTTCCATTTTATTACTAAAACATTTTTACATTTATAGAAAAACCTATAATTTATGTTACATTTTGGTTTTGGAAGCATATTAGGCGAGTTTGATCTAATTCATCTATGTTCAAAGTTCAAATAAATTGCCAAACAAGATTGGCTCTTTAACCAAGTCGAACAATTAAAGTAGATCAAAAAATTAAAAACTAACCCAAAAAACCGTATACCATAGTACCATACAAGGTCATATTCATATACATTATAGGTTTCTAAGTTTTTATTTTTTGGCTTAGACAATTGGAATCTACCACTCTAATGCATAGTTGACACTTATAATCAATCCAGAATTTCATGGTACAAAACAAGGAAGAATAATGTTAGTTGTACCTAACCCTTTGCCTTAGTTTTATATTATTTCAAACTTATGTAACTTCATCCTTGTAGCATCGATTAATTAGCGAATAATCAATAAATATAAATAGCAATGGCACATACCATACACACACGTATAATCACTATAATGAAAAAGTATATACTATATTCTTTTAAAATGACCAGATAATAACCTTCAAAAAAATTTGATAGATACAGCAAAGAGAGCTCTTGGTGTAGATTTTCTTGGTACAAATGAGAAACATATATGATGCTGCTGTAGATTGGAGCCTCAGGCAGAGTCTCAGTTTTTTGTGCTTCAGAGGTACTTTCTGGCGAGAGCTCTAACCTTTGTATCAAAATGAGATGATGTAATTCGAGATCCAGGTAAGTAGAGGGGATTAAGCAGAGTCTGCAAATTCCAATTTAAAGATCAGTCAGTGCAGTAGCGAGAACTGTTCACGTAAATGAGTGTTACTAACATTCAGATAAACTGTTCAAACCTTGTTAGTGTTGCTGACATGTATCGTTATTGTCAATAGAGTTTAATAATTTTGTAGTTCCTCCTTGTACATAGACATGCTTTACAATTTTGTCCATATAAAAGAAAGATTTGACTGATTGATAATGAGAACTAGGGTGCGGAATGAGGATCTATAGGAGAAATGAAAATCAGAGTGTTTTCTCGGGCCTTTTATATGTATCATCCTATGCTGGCAAAGTCATCTCTAACAACATTTCAAATTTTTTATTTATCATCATAATATTCAAAAATATTCCTTTATAGAGGACGGAAATTGTCATGAATAGAAATAAAGTTTTCAACGCGTTTTGAAGATAATTCATTCCTCCTAAATGAATGAAGGAATAACTACTCCAGTCCGTGTACCTCATCAGAGTTACTGTGTGCCCAAGTCACGATTGTAGAATTCAGAATTTTAGTAAAACGGGAGAGTCCAGAGTCAATGGTACATGTTAGGAGTAGTTGAGTAGGACTTAGGTTTTAACTTTTGTGTTTCAAATTTTCACCATCACCCAAGAAATCTATATTTTAAAATCTAATTATAAGTATTTAACCAGGAAAGAAAAACATGGAAGAGAAGAAAATCCTTCTTGAGAAGCAGAAAGAACATACCTTTATATAAAGCTCATGAACTTCTTGGAAGAAGCTTTTGATCCCATCATCATTGCGAGAATCGTGAAGCAGCATCAGTCGTGTATGTATACTTGATTAGTCAAAGAAAACATGAAATATTTTCCAAGAAGCTTATAAGATATAAATTAAGGCACTAACAGCAAACAGAAAGTGATGTCCAAGGATAAAGCCATATTATTGCACATATGCTTTATTTATAGCAAATGTGATTAGAGAATAAAATGTACTCTGTTGACAGGACAGGAATTAGATTGGTGTGACTATCAGCACAGGTAGGAACAAAGAAAATTAAACTAAAAAAAGATGTTTGGCTTAAGGACAAAAAGAATTCTTACTAGTGAACTTTACCAGACACTAGAAGCTATAATGTTTAGATAAAAAGTTTACTGGCTTTTACCCAAATATCTACATGTTTAATGAAGATAATAAATTTTGCACTACAAAACCACCTTGCTTATGTGATACTGTACATAAGTTCAAAATTCAATATTTTGCATCCATCCAATTAATTGGATGATATGTAGGATATGACCTGCAGTGACATATACTGAAACTGCCAAATCATTGAACCGGTCAATTGCCTTCAGGAACCTGGATGAAAAAGGTAGAGAAGAGTGTTTTCAGATAATGACAGGGAGGCATAAGAAAAACTCTAAAATGACATAACGCATATACAACATATACAGAGGTTCTGGGGATTGGAATCTCACATTGCACTGGTAGTCCATGCCAGATCCTGCACAATGTCTAATGCTGCATGTAATATGAACTGGTGCTGATGAGCAGCATCCTCTTTCTGACACGTAATTGTATAGTAAATAAGGTAACAAAATACTTCCTCAGGGACGAGTACATGTCTATGATAGATAGGGACCCTTACTAATGCGAACGACGCCCAAACACAGACAGTAAAGAAAAAACCGAAAACAATACTATCAAATACAGGGATAGAATCCAATCAAAGATATGACTTCAACTTGAAGCAAAATGTATATCAGAGCATGTGTACCCTCACTTTTATCTCATACTACAAGAGAATAGTGTTATTGTCAAAATCAAAACTTAAACCCAGTGCCATTTTAGATCAAATGTACTCCACTACTTACCCCCTAAACCCCAACTAATTATTTTTTTCTTTCATAACAAATTAATAATAAAGATCAAACTTGATCTAAAACGAATATCTTTACTTTGCAGTAATTTTCATAGCCAATTTGATTCTAAACCACATTACCAACTACAGTGAGCACGTAATTGCCAAGGAATTTTAAGTGTTCCTTTTTGTGTGTGTGTGTGTGCAGATCATAGAGCATTTTTAACCCAAAAAAAAAAAAAATCATATATTTCTCAAACCGCTTAGGGTTATATAAAAATGATTCAGAACTTTACAAGCAAACACAAAGCATCATAGCATTAAATTTCGAATTAAAACCTAGGAAAATAAAATGCGAAATCCTGCATAGGAAAAAAAAAAAAAGTGCATACTTTAGGTGCAGTTCCAACTTCGGCTTCGTAGATGGGAATGTCGTTCCTGCTTACGATCATAAAACACGCCGTACTCGCCATCCCTTTCGTCTCCTCGAATCCCCAAACCTTAAAAGATAAAAATAAATTAAAAAAGAGGGGAGGAAGAATCGGTAATTGAGTAATCGTGATGGTGAACTTTGACAGTAAGTTGCAATGCAGAAAATGAGAGAATCTGCAGAGAGATCCGAACCTGCAACTCAACAACTGCCCGTTTACCAATTACCAGGATACAAACTTTCGTCCCTCTCTCCGTCTTGTTGATGCCAATATCTCTTAGAAATCAGACTCAGTGAAAACGACGCCGTATAGATGCTGGCAGTTTGCTAGGATTTATTTTGGAAATAATACTTAATTTTAATCCATGAATAAGCTATTAACTCTATTTGATAAAATCTATGAATAAGCTATTAACTCTATTTGATAAAGAAACATACTAAAACGCAATTACAATTGTCACTCACATCAAATTACTCAATGATATGACAAATGTCATATCAAAAGGATTTCATGGAGCTACTAGGTTGAGGCGTGTTAGTGTGGAAAGACACTGATCTCTTGGATTTCTTCGGTCCATTTATTGTATCTGGTTCGATTAACGCAGCTTAACTGTAATAATTTTTTATAATATTAAATGTAATATTAACATACAAAATTTATATATTTCGAAATTACATTAAAATGTATTATTACACAAAAGAAAATTTAAAAACAAACTAAAGAATAAGTTTTATTTCTTCTGGCTTCGCCACCTTGGGGCGAGAATCCAAAACCGCAAGATTAAGAGCCTTGCACTCTACCAACTGAGCTAGACGGGCAAATAGTTATGTATAGTTAATCTTGATATTACTATAGAGGTTACGTGTATTGAAAATTAATTAACAAGTTACACAATTGAATGAGAGATAGCTTAATGAATAATAAATTGATTAAATTTGTTAAAAAAAAACAAGTGTTTTAAAATTATACAATATTTATAAAATACAAAAAAACATCTTTTTTTTTTGAATGCTACTAGCACAAAAAGACATCTTAAACTATTGTAAAATGAATAATTTTAGGGAAAATGGTCAAATAGGCCCTCAAACATTTGTTAAAGAGTCAATTAGCCTCTCTAACTTTTTAAAGGTGCAATTACACCCATAAACAATGCATTTTGATGGAATGAAGCTCAAATACAGGTAAATGACCTGTTATCATAGGTCATTGAAGATCCGACAATTTTTTGACATATTTTCAGGCAAAAAAGTCGGACTCCGGTGACCACTGTGGTCACCGGAATCCGTGACCGGCGACCGTTCGACGGTCGACGGTCACTTTTTTGCCTGAAAATACACCGGAAAATACGTCAGAAAATGGTTGGATCTTCAATGACCTATGATAGCAGGTCAATTACCTGTATTTGGGCTTCATTGCATCAAAATGCGTTGTTTATAGGTGTAATTGCACATTTAAAAAGTTGGAGGGGCTAATTGACTATTTAGCAAATGTTTGAGGGCTTATGTGACCTTTTTCCCATAATTTTATTATTGAAAATAATTTATATTGAGTATTTAAATTTCTATGCACTTCTTAAAAGATAATACTTGAATAACTTATTGACCTACTAAATTCTAAATGCTTATATTGTGGGTCATGGATCATGGTTCACATAGTAAAATATACTATTTATATAAGTTTGTTTTTAGTATGTTATAGGTTCATATTCATATGAAATGCATTAAGAATGAACTTGATAGACCATTTATATATGTTTGTTTTTAGTATGTTATAGGTTCATATCAATATGAAGTGCAATACATTAAAAATAATGTCTACAGATACCAAGACCACGATATCCGTGTTATATTTTTAGTAGGGTGCCCAGCTTGCCATCAAAATGGAAAGGTTAAAAGCCAACTAGGCTAGACAAGCAAGTGCTTATGTATAGTTAATCTTGATAATAATTGATTAATTTTTTAAAAAATGATGTCTACTGGTATTGAGACGAGGAAGTGGCTGGGGGTAGAACTCACTAAGACCAGTAGCCCAATGGGCCCTTTATAGTAGGAACTAGGAGGTACGGTGTCCTTTATGGAAGGAATGATAGGGTCAAGAAGGAAACCTACTCTGTCCGGCTTGCTATCAGAATGGAGAGGTTAAAAATCATGTATTTGCCTGGAGTTCAAACTCAGAACCACAAGGTTAAGGGCCTTAGGCTCTACCAACTGAACTAAACGAACAAGTGACTATGTATAATTAATCTTGATATTACTATGGAGGCTACGAGTAATGAAAATTAATTAACAAATTACACTGTTGAATGAGAGATAGCTTAATGAATAATAAATTGATTAAATTTGTTAAAAAACAAGTGTTTTAAAATTATAATACAAAAAGACACTTTAAATTTCGTAAAATGAATAATTTTATTAATGAAAACAATTTATATTGGGTATTTAAATTCTTATAATAGTTGAATAACTTATTGACCTACTAAATTCTAAATGTTTATATTACGGAGTCATAGAACACGGTTCACATAGTAAGATAGACCATTTATATAAGTTTGTTAATAGTATGCAATTGGTTCATATTCATATGAAAACAACCACAACGCCTTAACCCAATGTCACAAGTCATCCGCTAATTTGAAGATTTAAGACTTACAGCACATTTGGTTCACGGAATGAATTTTGCGGTAATAGGAATGCTATTCCATAAGGAATGGAATAGGCAAGGAATAGAATAGGAATTGTATTCTATTGTTTGGTTCGCGAAAGGAATAGACTTTATGAATTATATTACTGTGTTTGGTTGGTTTAAGGAATAGAAATTAAATATGTTTTAAAAGACATAAATACCCTTATAAAAATATGTGGTGGTGTCGATGGTGGCGGTGTTGCTGGTGGTGGTAGTGGCGGCAGCGACGACGGCGGTGGTGGTAGCGGCAGTGGTGGTGGTGGTAGCGGTGCTGGTGCTGGTGTTGGTGGTGTTGGTGGTGCTGGTGGCGGTGGTGGTGGCTGCGGCGGCGGCGGTGGTGGCGGTGGTAGCAACGGTGGTGGCGATGCTGGTGGTGTTGGTGGGCTGGTGGTGCTGGTGGCGGTAGTGTTGGTGGGGTGGTGGTGCTGGTGGCGACGGCAATGCTGGTAGCGATGGTGGTGGTGGTGGTGGTGGTGGTGGTGACGGGGGGTAAAATAGGAAGTAGAAATTTTAGGCTATTCTTGAAAGGCCGTGGTAATAGCTATTACCTTATCTAGAGGAATAGGGTATTACCGGGAATACTATTCCCGGTAATAGAAACGGTTACCAAACACATGAATATGCCTATTACTAGGAATGCTATGCCATTCCCGGTGAAAAGCTATTACCTTATCTAGAGGAATAGGGTATTACCGGGAATACTATTCCCGGTAATAGAAACGGTTACCAAACACATGAATATGCCTATTACTAGGAATGCTATGCCATTCCATTCCCGGTGAAAGGCCCTGGTAATAGCTATTACCTTATCTGGAGGAATAGGGTATTACCGGGAATAGAAACGGTTACCAAACACATGAATATGCCTATTACTAGGAATGCTATGCCATTCCCGGCCTATTCCGTGAACCAAACGGACCATTAGTATCCGACTTGCCACCGAAATGGAGAGGTTAAAAATCATCCATTCGCCCACCCTGGGGCTCAAACCCAGGACCACAAGGTTAAGAGCCTTGCGCTCTACCAACTGAGCTAGACAGGCAAGTCACTTTGTATAATTAATCTTGATATTACTATGAAGGGTACAAGTATTGAAAATTAATTAACAAGTTCCACGATTGAATGAGAGATAGCTTAATGAATAATAAATTGATTAAATTTGTTGAAAAACAATTGTTTTAAAATTATACAATATTTTTAAAATACAAAAAGACACTTTAAAATATCGTAAAATGAATAATTTTATTTGACCTACTAAATTCTAAATGTTTATATTGCTGAGTCATGGAACACGGTTCACATAGTAAGATAGACTATTTATATAAGTCTGTTTTTAGTATGCTATTGGTTCATATTCATATGAAATGCACTAAAAATGAACTTGTGGTGCGAGAATAACACCCACAACGACTTAACCCAATGTCAGAAATCATCCGCTAATTTGAAGATTTAAGACTTAGTGTCGTGCATTCAGCCACCCTGGGGCTCGAACCCAAGACCACAAGGTTAAGAGCCTTGCGCCCTACCAACTGAGCTAGACGAGCAAGTCACTTTGTATAATTAATCTTGATATTACTATGAAGGGTATGAGTATCGAAAATTAATTAACATGTTCCACGATTGAATGAAAGATAGCTTAATGAATAATAAATTGATTAAATTTGTTGGAAAACAAGTGTTTTAAAATTATACAATATTTTTAAAATATAAAAAGACACTTTAAAATATTGTAAAATGAATAATTTTATTAATGAAAACAATTTATATTGAGTATTTAAATTTTTATAATAGTTGAATAACTTATTGACCTACTTAATTCTAAATGCTTATATTGCGGAGTCATGGAACACGGTTCACATAGTAAGATAGACCATTTATATAAGTTTGTTTTTAGTATGCAATTGGTTCATATTCATATGAAAACAACCACAACGACTTAACCCAATGTCGAAAGTCATCCGCTAATTTGAAGATTTAAGACTTAGTGTCCGGCTTGCCATCAAAATGGAGAGGTTAAAAAATCATCAATTCACCCACCTTAGGGCTCAAACCCAGGACCACAAGGTTAAGAGCCTTGCGCTCTACCAACTGAGCTAGACAGGCAAGTCACTTTGTATAATTAATCTTGATATTACTATGAAGGGTACAAGTATTGAAAATTAATTAACAAGTTCCACGATTGAATGAGAGATAGCTTAATGAATAATAAATTGATTAAATTTGTTGAAAAACAAGTGTTTTAAAATTATACAATATTTTTAAAATACAAAAAGACACTTTAAAATATCGTAAAATGAATAATTTTATTTGACCTACTAAATTATAAATGTTTATATTGCGGAGTCATGGAACACGATTCACATAGTAAGATAGACCATTTATATAAGTAAATGAACTTGTGGTGCGAGAATAACAACCACAACGACTTAACCCAATGTCGAAATCATCCGCTAATTTGGAGATTTAAGACTTAGTGTCGTGCATTCACCCACCCTAGGGCTCGAACCCAGGACCACAAGGTTAAGAGCCTTGTGTTCTACCAACTAAGCTAGACGGGCAAGTCACTTTGTATAATTAATCTTGATATTACTATGAAGGGTATGAGTATCGAAAATTAATTAACAAGTTCCACGATTGAATGAAAGATAGCTTAATGAATAATAAATTGATTAAATTTGTTGCAAAACAAGTGTTTTAAAATTATACAATATTTTTAAAATATAAAAAGACACTTTAAAATATTGTAAAATGAATAATTTTATTAATGAAAACAATTTATATTGAGTATTTAAATTTTTATAATAGTTGAATAACTTATTGACCTACTTAATTCTAAATGCTTATATTGCGGAGTCATGGAACACGGTTCACATAGTAAGATAGACCATTTATATAAGTTTGTTTTTAGTATGCAATTGGTTCATATTCATATGAAAACAACCACAACGACTTAACCCAATGTCGAAAGTCATCCGCTAATTTGAAGATTTAAGACTTAGTGTCCGGCTTGCCATCAAAATGGAGAGGTTAAAAAATCATCCATTCGCCCACCCTGGGGCTCAAACCCAGTACCACAAGGTTAAGAGCCTTGCGCTCTACCAACTGAGCTAGACAGGCAAGTCACTTTGTATAATTAATCTTGATATTACTATGAAGGGTACAAGTATTGAAAATTAATTAACAAGTTCCACGATTGAATAAGAGATAGCTTAACGAATAATAAATTGATTAAATTTTTTGAAAAATAAGTGTTTTAAAATTATACAATATTTTTAAAATACAAGAAGACACTTTAAAATATCGTAAAATGAATAATTTTATTTGACCTACTAAATTCTAAATGTTTATATCGGAGGGGTGTAGTAGTAGTAGTAGTAGTAGTAGTAGTGGTGATAATGGAGGGGTGTTTTTTTTTTTTTTTTTTTTGAGACAGAAATAAAACATTACCTTTTGGGCAATCTGGGATCGCTTGTGAACTTCACGAGCCTCCTTCTTGCGTTTGCGATTGAAGTGATCATGGCGGTAGCCATTTCTCTTCCTGTGCAGCTTTATGTAATCTCCTTGCGGCATGTTTGTCGACGACCAAAATCCAGGAACTTTTCATATTTAACATCCATTTTAACAGCTACTACTACTACTATTATTATTATTATTAGTAGTAGTAGTAGTAGAAGAAGAAGATAATGGAGGGGTCTTTTTTTTTTTTTTTTTTTTTTTTTTTTTTTTTTGAGACAGAAATAGAACATTACCTTTTGGGCAATCTGGGATCGCTTGTGAACTTCACTAGCCTCCTTCTTGCGTTTGCGATTGAAGTGATCATGGCGGTAGCCATTTCTCTTCCTGTGCAGCTTTATGTAATCTCCCTGCGGCATGTTTGTCGACGACCAAAATCCAGGAACTTTTCATATTTAACATCCATTTTAACAGCTACTACTACTATTATTATTATTATTATTATTATTATTAGTAGTAGTAGATAATGGAGGGGTCTTTTTTTTTTTTTTTTTTTTTTTTTTGAGACAAAAATAGAACATTACCTTTTGGGCAATCTGGGATCGCTTGTGAACTTCACGAGCCTCCTTCTTGCGTTTGCGTTTGAAGTGATCATGGCGGTAGCCATTTCTCTTCCTGTGCAGCTTTATGTAATCTCCCTGCGACATGTTTGTCGACGACCAAAATCCAGGAACTTTTCATATTTAACATCCATTTTAACAACTACTACTAGTATTATTATTATTATTATTATTATTATTATTATTATTATTATTATTATTATTATTATTATATCATCAATAATAATAATAATAAGTGAAATGACATTTATACCCTCATATTTAATAGTCTTAACACTTATTTAACGGAGAGGGGAGAAAATAGCCACTTAAAAAACAATTGAGGGGGATAAAGTGGTTACATAAACAACACAGGGATAAAATATGCTATAAGTAAACAACGCAGAGAGGAAAAAGTGCCATTTTCCCTGTATAAATAATATATTTAAGTGATAATTATTAATTTATGCTAGTTCTAAAAAATTTTATGGACGTTTAAAAAAAAAAAAAAAAATTTATGGACTTGAATTCATAATCTAACATGTACTTTATAATTTGCCAACCGAATGGAGCTTTGGCTACTTGGGTATACAAAGTGACCAACATGGGGTAACTCCCATCATTATTGTGTGGACTATAGTCTATACAAATTATGTAGATCATATTTTTTATATTATAAAATAATGTACATTTAATACAAAAGTAATGTACATTTCGTATATTAAAAATGTACATTATTTGAGTACTGAAAGTACATTATTTTGTATAATATACATTCAGTACATAAATAATGTACATTTAATATATTAAAAATGTATTTTTTGTTATGGTCCACACAACATTGTGTAGACCATAGTCCATACAATAATTTATCGGGTAACTCCGATTCAGACAATGCAATATGCGTCCAGGTGCACGATATAAATTGCCCTATATTCGTTAAAATTTGACCAATATTGGATTGGTAAATTATTGTGTGGACGACTGTCCAAAACAACGTCGTTGAATTTTATGAGTTAGAATAATGTACATTATGAATTAAAATAATTTATTTTATGTGTTAGAATAATGAAACTCCTGAGATAAGACAATATACTGTATGAGTTAGAATAAGAGTAAATACCCAAAATGGTCCCTCAACTATAGCTAAATCACAAATTAGTCATCGACTTTCAATTTCAACCAATTAAGTCCTTAAATTTGCAATTTTGACACGATTTGGTCCTCCATCTATTTGACAGTTTGTTGACCGTGATCTTTGAGGATATATATGTAATTTCACGTGCAAAGCTCAAGAGAACGCTCTTGGAGGTGACAACGTTGTTTCGAAGGGCGAAGTGCTTCTCTGCTTGCTGCATGGGGATCACGAGCCGCCGGTTCAGCTTAGAGAACGCTCTTGGAGGTGACAGCGCCGTTTCGGAGGGGGAAGTGCTTCTCCGCTTGCTACTTGGGGATCACGAGCCGGTTCAGCTTGCCAACATCACTTGGAGTCACAACTTTCTCGAAGAGCCGCTCTAGGGACTTCGGCGATCTATCTATCAAAAGCTATAATCTCTCCGGCATGGGGTGTAACGCCGGCTTGATCTCGATTGATCTCACACGTGACCTCCTGTACGTGCACCCCAACTCTAACGCCCTGGTGGTTAGCACGGAGGTTATTACGCGCAACTATTACAAAGGATCGGAGAGAGCTATGCTCCTCCCTAATTGCCACTTCAGAATGGGCGCCGCCGCGATTCTCATGTCCAACAAGAAGCGTGATTCTCATGTCCAACAAGAAGCGCGATTCGGATCTGGCCAAGTATCGACTCATGCACGTGGTCCACACGCACAAGGGCGCCAACGACAAAGCCTACCGCTACGTTTACGAGCAGAAAGATCCGCAAGGGAAAGTTGGAATCAACATCTCAAAAGGCCGCCAACAAAGCCCTCAAATCCAACATAACCACAATCTGCTTGCTCGTTCTCCCGGTGTTGGAGCAGCTCCTCTTCCTCTTCACCCTAATCGGCCGGAAAATCTTCAATCCCATATGGAAACCCTATATTCCCGACTTCAAACAGGCCTTCGAACACTCTTGCATCAACGCTGGCGGCCGCGCCGTCATCGACGATCTCCATAATAACCTGCAGCTCTCGCCGGAGCACGTAGAGGCCTCTAGGATGACATTGCACCGGTTTGGAAACACATCGTCTTCTTCGCTCTGGTACGAACTCAACTACATTGCATCCAAAGGGAGGATGAAGAAAGGCGACCGAGTTTGGTAGATTGCTTTCGGCGGTGGATTCAAATGTAATAGTGCGGTCTGGAAATGCAATCGGAACCTTAAAAGACCGACAATGGACTATGAAATTACATATATATCCTCAAAAATCACAGTCAACAAACGGTCAAATAGACAGAGGACCAAATTGTGTTAATATTACAAAGTTAAGGACTTAATTGGTTGAAATTGAAAGTTGAGGACCAATTTGTGAATTTAACTATAGTCAAGGTATCATTTTGGATATTTACTCTTAAAATAATGTACATTATGAGTTATAAAATGTATAAGGCAGCGGATCACGCGTAAAAAATATATTCAAAATGAGGTCGTTTTTAGTCATGGTCCCCACATCATAACTTTAAATTGCCGGAGTTTCAAATTTGCAGCACTTTTAGTGTCGACGATCATGTCGACCAGAACTCTAACCCTTGGCACGAGAAGCACTCTCCGTCTGCGATTCTGCAAATTATTCTCCAATTGTTTTCATTTTCAGCACAATTATCCCAGAAATCCTCAAAGCTTACTCTCATCTCCACCACCCACCACCGCGCCCCGCCGCGGCAACCACCGTTGTCGATCTTTTACATCTACCTCTCATTTGTTTCAACTCCAAATCCAATCGCAGCTTCAAAGCTCGGATCCATCTTCTCCTCACCTCGTGAACGAGCTCTCCCGGGTACTCAGCGACTTCAGAAGTCCGCACCATGATATCGAGGCGGCCCTCAGTCCATTCCACTCCCAAATATCCGTCAATGTGGTTGAACAAGTGCTCAAGCGGTGCAGGAATCTGGGGTTTTCCGCTCACAGATTCTTCCTCTGGGCTCAAAGGCTACCGGGCTTTCGACATAGTGAAGAGAGCTATCGCATTCTTGTTGACATCTTAGGAAGTAGCAAGCAGTTCCCACTGTTGTGGGATTTTCTCTTGGAAATGAGAGACGCTAAATCTTGTGAAATCACTCCGCATATGTTCTCGATTGTGTTCAGGGCTTATTGCAGGGCTAATCTTCCTGACGATGCCATACGGGCTTTTAGCAAGATGGGCGATTTTGGGATTGAACCGAATGTAGATGATCTTGGTCACCTTCTGTATGCGTTGTGCAAAAGAAAGCATACTTCGCATGCTCAAAAATTCTTTGACAGAGTTAAGGAAAGTTACCCACCTTGCACAAAATGTTATAGCATTTTGATTAGAGGTTGGGGAGAAATGGGAGAATTTTCACAGGCACAGAAGCTGTTTGATGAAATGCTTCAGAGGGGATGTTCAGTTCATTTGCCTGCATATAATTGTCTCTTGGAGTCTTTATGCAAGGGAGGGAAGATGGATGAAGCTTATAAAATGTTCAGAAAGATGTGGTCTATGGAGCTTAAACCAGATGCTTTTACGTACTCTATATTCATTCATTCTTATTGCCAGGCAAATGATATTCATTCAGCTTTCAAGGTTCTTGATAGGATGAAAAGGCATGATCTTGTCCCTAATGTGTTTACTTACAATTGCATGATCAAGAAACTTTGTAAGATTAGTAAGGTGGAAGATGCCTACCAACTGTTGGCTGAAATGGTTGATAGAGGAGCAGTTCCAGACTCTTGGAGTTATAATACGATTTTAGCTTTCCATTGTGATCACAATGAAGTTAACCAAGCATTTAGGCTGATTTCAAGAATGGATCAGTCCGGTTGCCAACCAGACCGGCATACATATAACATGGTGCTTAAAATGCTTATTCGGGTGGGAAGATTTGATAGAGTCGAGGAAGTTTGGGATGGCATGGAAGAACGGGGATACTATCCTTCTGTCTCGACGTATGCTGTGATGGTGCATGGTCTCTGTCAGAAGAGAGGCAAACTTGAGGAAGCATGTAAATATTTCGAAACGATGATTGATGAAGGAATACCGCCTTATACCTCGACGTGTGAACTATTGAGGAATAAACTTATTGGTTTAGGATTTGCAGACCAGACCGATATACTTGCAGAGAAGATGGAGAGAAGCACTTCTTGTTCAATTCAGGAGCTAGCGGGTTTGATGAGAGGTAATAGGCGTTGTGTCAAACGCGGAGATGAAGGCGAATACTCAGATGATAGCGATTCACAATAGCCTTCATGGATGAACGATTAAAGCTTCGTTTCAAGCTGATCGATCTCTTGTTCTTCATTCATGTGCTCGAATTTTTCATTTACTATTATTGCCAATAAAAGTGACAACTTGAGCATCTCCAAAACAGAAGCTATCTAGACTAATTGTCAAACAATTGTTCATATTCGTGCTAGGATCAATTGCCATTTTTTTATTTTTGTATTTTTAAAACCTTTATTTATCATACATAACCTAACATTGATAATCATTCCAATTCCACCCTACTAGAAACATACAAAATACTTACACAAAAATTCACACAATTACCAAGTATTTGATTCTCATTCTGATTCTCATGGATGCGGAACCAAAAAGTAATTGCGCATTCAATCAAACTCAATGCGAAACTCAGAAACCCTCGAATCGAATAAAAACCAGCAGAACCAAGAGAGAATGTGTTAAGTATATAACCATTAATGATGGGGTGACGCGGAGATTTGAACACATGACCTTTGACATGGCTCTGATATCAAATTGAAGCTGTACTCAATGTTTATATATGTTATATGCTCAACACAATTCGTATATATATATGAAATTCGTATATATATATATATGAACAATAAAGAGGTTATAGTTTGATCTTAATGTCGTTGGCAGTTGGCACGAGGCGCGGGTCTATAACTAAAATTTGAACGGTACTACATCACCTTTCAAATCTATTCTCTTAAACCAACAGCTTTTCGCGGATCATCATTACCGTTTTTTCTGTTTCTTCACTCCCTAAGATCGGATCATATTCTCCATCTATCACTCTTGTATTTTCTTCAATTACCTAGATTTCACATCTCCCTTTTTAATTTGTTCTTCCAAATGCACTGTTTTTGACAGAGTTCCTCATCGATCTCGATCACCTCTTTCACATTAATTGGCTTTCCAACTGCTACTCGATCTCTTTCTTAGCTTAATTTCTTGGGAGGAAAATGGCTCGGAATTTGCTTCATGGGACCCTACATGTGACGATCTACGAGGTTGATCATATTAGCGGCGGAGGTGAAGGTGAAAGACACTTTTTCCGTAAGGTATATTATAGGAGTGATCTTCAATTCGTTCTCTCTGAGCTGATTTGGTTCATACTATACGGCATTATATTATATTGTAGTTAGAATTTTTGATTTCATTTGCTATCTGTTAGATTCATGGAATGGAAAATCTATCCTAGTGTTGTTTTTAACTGATAGATCGAAATCTCTATTATAATTGCAGGTTATGGAGCAAGTTGAGGAGACGGTTGGTATTGGAAAAGGAACTCCAAAGCTGTATGCTACTATAGATCTGGAAAAAGCTAGGGTTGGGAGAACCAGAACGGTTGATGATCCCGGAAACCCTAAGTGGGATGAATCTTTTCACATTTATTGTGCCCATTCAGCCAGTAATATCATATTCACTGTCAAGGACAACAATCCTATTGGCGCGACCTTAATTGGGAGAGCTTATGTGCCTGTTAGTGAGGTTTTGGATGGGGATGAAGTAGACAAGTGGGCTGAGATTCTGGGTGAAGATAGGAATCCTGTTGACGGAGGTTCCAAAATCCATGTGAAGCTGCAGTATTTTGATGTTTCTCGAGACCGAAACTGGGGGATGGGAATCAGAAGTCCCAAGTATCCTGGAGTTCCTTACACCTTCTTTGGACAGAGAAAAGGGTGTAAGGTTACGTTGTATCAAGATGCACATATCCCAGATAAATTTATACCCAAAATCCCTCTGTCTGGGGGAAACTTTTATGAAGGTCATAGGTGTTGGGAAGATGTGTTTGATGCCATTACTAATGCAAAGCACTTGATTTACATTACAGGATGGTCAGTGTATACTGAGATTACCCTAGTGAGGGACTCGAGGAGGCCAAAGCCGGGGGGAGACACCAAGCTCGGGGAGCTGCTTAAGAAGAGGGCAAGTGAGGGTGTGAGAGTTTGTATACTGGTTTGGGATGACAGAACCTCTGTAGGCCAAATGAAGAAGGATGGTTTGATGGCTACTCATGATGAAGAAACTCAGAAGTACTTCAATGATACTGATGTGCATTGTATCTTATGCCCCAGGAATCCTGATAATGGTGGAAGCATCATTCAGGGCTTACAGATATCTACAATGTTTACTCATCACCAAAAGATTGTGGTGGTGGACCACGAAATGCCCAATGGAGGATCAGGGCAGAGGAGAATTGTGAGCTTTGTTGGCGGTATTGATCTCTGCGATGGTCGATACGACTCGCCTTTCCATTCACTTTTCAGGACACTGGACACGGTCCATCACGACGATTTCCACCAGCCAAACTACACTGGTGCTGCAATCACAGCAGGCGGACCGAGAGAGCCTTGGCACGACATTCACTCCAAGCTGGAAGGACCTGTGGCCTGGGATGTTCTGTATAACTTTGAGCAGAGATGGAAGAAGCAGGGAGGGAAGGATGTTATTATTGATCTGAGAGAGCTTGATCAGATTATAATCCCACCATCACCAGTGATGCTCCCAGATGATAAGGAGTCATGGAATGTTCAGGTGTTCAGATCTATTGATGGCGGGGCGGCTTTTGGCTTCCCGGATTCACCAGAGGAGGCTGCCAAGTCGGGTCTTGTAAGTGGGAAGGATAACATTATTGACAGAAGCATCCAAGATGCTTATATCAATGCCATTCGCCGAGCAAAGAATTTTATATACATTGAGAACCAATATTTCCTTGGAAGCTGTTTTGGGTGGGAGTCAGATGACATCAATACTGCAGAGATTGGTGCCTTGCACCTAATTCCAAAGGAGCTTTCTTTGAAGATTGCAAAAAAGATTGAAGATGGGGAGAGGTTTGCAGTGTACATTTTGGTTCCAATGTGGCCAGAAGGGATCCCAGAGAGCTCATCAGTTCAAGCAATATTAGATTGGCAGAGGAGGACAATTCAGATGATGTATAAAGATGTAATTCAAGCTATGAAAGCCAAAGGCATTGAGGATGACCCCAGGAATTATCTCACATTCTTCTGCGTTGGAAACCGGGAGGTGAAGAAGAGTGGCGAGTATGAACCTTCAGAAAGTCCTGAACCTGATTCAGGCTATGCCAGCGCTCAGGCGAATCGGCGCTTCATGATCTACGTCCATTCCAAGATGATGATAGGTGAGTATGCAATGCCTTTGAATAGAATCCAACTAATTACTTAATTAGCCAACATGGGTAGTTTAGTTGGGTAATTATACAGAATCGAGCCTGAAAATCACACTGTGGGCCTAGTCTATGTGATGGACTCTAGACACTGGTCGTCCGCCACCTAATAGACACTGAATCATAGCATGCAATTTACTACTTTCACAAACACAGCTGCAGAATGCGAGTTACATTCAATGTAGTGGGCCCTTTCTGGGCACTAGATATTGACCCTCTTGTTGTTGATCTGAGTCGTTGACTCGTTAACTCGTTGTAATTTAACACCTTTACAAATCCTATCGGACTGAGGTGTGAGCCCTGGGGGCTAGGAATTTTACCTTTTTGCGGTCAAGAATCCAACCAATATAATGGGCTCTTAAAGGTCTAGTCTTTGTGGTTCATGTTCAGTTGAGTCACCATGATTTACCTCATCCCAGATGCTCTGTCCGGCCAGAGTATGGAGCCCTTAGGGTTGGAGTCCAACCTTTTAGAAGAATATAATGAGCTCTTTGTGAGCACCTGACATTGACATTTTCTCAAATAGGCTGTTGACTGTTGACTGTTGAGTCACTGTAATTTAATACATACATTACCACCTCTACAAATCCTGTTGGATAAAATATGGTTTCGCTTTTTGTGGGCAAGAATCTGACGAATTACCTAGCCACATTGCCATTATTATAACAAAATGCATTGAATGTTGGTGGTGTGTTTGCAGTTGATGATGAGTACATCATAGTTGGATCTGCGAACATCAACCAGAGATCAATGGACGGGTCAAGAGACTCGGAGATAGCCATGGGATCCTACCAACCTCACCATTTGACGACCAGCAGCCAATCCCCGAGGGGACAGGTCCACGGCTTCCGAATGGCGCTGTGGTACGAGCACATGGGCATGCTGGACGACTGCTTCCTCCGCCCACAAAGCGAGGAGTGTATCCGGAAGGTGAACAACATGGTTGACAAGTACTGGGAACTCTACTCCGACGAAAACTTGGAAAAAGACCTGCCGGGCCACCTGCTCCGTTACCCCATCGGAATCAGCAGCGATGGCACTGTATCAGAGCTACCAGGGTTTGAGTGCTTCCCGGACACCAAGGCTCGTATTCTGGGCGCTAAAGCTGATTTCCTTCCTCCTATCCTCACCACTTAAGCTACCATGTGTTTATAACGTTTTTTCTGTTTGTCAGTAGAAATAAAGTGGCGTCGTCTAGTCTTATAGTTGACAGTTTTTTTGCTGAATAACACTCCATGTTTTTCTGTTTGATGTATTATGTACGTCGTACCCCTTTTAGTGGAAATGGGTTCGTGCCTGATACCCAAATATTATTTATGTAATTTTTATGTTTTTTTTTTTTTCCCTAAAGGTTAAATCCCAATCCCAAGGGCCCATGCTCTGACCAGACAGAGTATTTAGGAGAATATAAATAATTTAACTCAGTTGAATACAGATGTTAGACCTTTGTTTACTGCGCAGAAAGTGTCTCCTCAGTTATTTTCACACTGTCGCTGGTGAGATTTAATTTCAGATCATTGTTTCCAAATTTCATCTCTGTAACCAACTGAGCTGCGTTGTCCATGCTGACATGTAATTTCTATGTTGTTAGACGGAGTTGATGATGACAATGTTGTGCCATTTCATCCATGTTTGTAGCAGGTGATGATGCTACAAGGAGTGAGTAAAACATAAAACTAATAAGCAAAAATGGCATTTTTGAATCTTAGCCTTTAATATTAAAAAGATACTTAGTCCTTAAATTATACATTCACAATACGAACTAGTGCAGCCTATATAAATATGTAATATGTAATATATAATTAAATTAGAACTAATGCTTCGAAAGTGTAACCAACTTTTTTATTATTATGTGGTACTAGTTTAATCATTTCGCCAGATCTATAACTGGGCACTATGAAGGAATTAGGAGGAAAAGAAATTGTAATTCGGTATAAAAATAATAAGGTGAGAATAAAGTAAGAATTCAAATCA